TATTGTTATTGTTGTGGTTTAAATTTAAATTTAAAGTTAGAGGGCGCTTTGCTATCATATCACAATTTTATTTACGACTTACACACCATTTTGCATATTTAGAATTTTCTAATAAAATTAAATACAATCCCGCATTTTAATCTATGTATGTACGTACACACATTGTTATGGTGTCTAAATCCATAAATAAACTGTACTCAGAACAATTATATTTTTATTTAAATTTTTAAATAATTAATACATACAAAAATAGTTAACATTTGCACGCATACATATAACTTTACTCTGTACAAATATCATAAACAAGAGATATGAGATATTCTTACTTTAAATGTTAATATAATTTTTTTTATAAAACTTACAATAGTTGTTTTGGGAAGTTTAATTTTAAATTTATGAATAGATAATTTTTTCCCTTATTAAAATTAATCAAAAGATTTTCATTTTTGTAACTTTACTAATAATGAATACTCATTTTAAATTATTTTTAAATAAAACTAAATCTACCGTGTTTACACTCATATACCATGTGACAATATATTTTGTACAGTAGAATACTGATTTTGTTAAACTAAAATCAAAATATAATCTACCAAAAGATATATTTATAATTTATTGTTTTCTCTAAATATTCAAATATATTGTTCTACAGACTTAAATTAATATTACTTAATTTTGTACAGTAGGTGTGACAAGAACGTAGTAATTGGACCAATTTTGTTGTAACAGATGAATGGTCTGGTGCATTGCTCTATGAAACAAAACCTTTGTTTCAAGCTAACTTATCTCCAAACCTAAAATATAGTACTGCTCTTTATTTGTTTGTCCTAATAAACAAGCCATTATTTAATATTTTCTATTGATCTGAAAAGTATAGAAAATTTTTGGACCCAAAGTCAAAGGGAAACGTTTATAAATTTCTTCATTGCGTCGTAGTACTCAAATTTAAATCCATTTATTCTGTATTTAAATTCATTTGATAAAAATATTTCCGTTCGAACCAAAATGGAAAATTTTCAAAGTACAAAATTTTCACCGGGTTAGATCTGGTAAAAGAAAAATGGTCAGGCAATTTAAAAAAAAACTTGTAAATTTTAGCAAAAGGGAGTCTTGAAGTTTCAGAAAGCGGTATAAAAAAAGAGAAATAAAATAATATTAGCCTTTTGAAAATGAAAATGTTTTTCATTACGACGTTTCCTAATAGGAAGAGCTGGGATGGAAGTGATAAAACTTGTATTAGTACTGACAGCCTATTGGGCTGAAAGCACCAATACCAAACGATTAGGTATCCCGTTCAACAAGAAATGCAGAAACTGCAGGGAAAAATAAACTATTGAATGCTTTTTATGTAAACTCTCAGGTCTGCCAACATTAAGAGATTCTACTATAATAGTCTACAAATTAATGAGCCTGGTAAAAATCCCAATTACATATATATAACAAAATAAATTTCTTTTACGAAAGGTATAAACTGATTCTATAAATTAGAATATCATCTTCAAGTGTGTGATATGGCGTCAATTTGCATTTTGGACAAAAAAGGAAACGCTGTCGCTACTAAAACCAACTAACCATAGTTTTAGTAGTATAAGAAACTAGGTTTCGTATCATATACTATGTTGTATTTAGCCAACAACAAATTCTTGCCATTCCAATAAATGGTACCTATTGTCTTCTTAAGAGCGTTTTTGCATTTTTCAATCCAATCTTCGGGTTTCGTAGTCTAATAGTAAATCCACATTTTATTAATCGTTATGGCAATGTGCAAAAAGTCCACTTTATTTTATTTAAATAATTTTCGCAGAGTCTTAAAATATATATTTATTTTTCCAAGGTTAGCGAACGCTGTATCAAAAGTGAAGGAACAGGAACTTTCTAATTAGGATTAAGTGAAACCGTTTGAATCTTATCTAACTCTTGTTCTGTTTAAACTGCGAGTATTAGCCAGTACTGCTTAAAATACTTTTTCAGGTTTTCATCAGTGGTAACATGTGTACAGTTGCATATTGTGGCTCAGAACTTAATCTTAATCTGAAGATTTCATTGTTAAGGATGCAATATAATCATCATTATCATTCATAAAATAGCAATATCGAAAAATGATAGATTTTCAGATATAAATATTAATTACAGATGGTTTCCACTTCGTAATGATAATATTTGATGTCAATAAGAGAGGTAAAAAACAACTTTAATTGATATAAGCAATAATTAATCACATCGTAAATAGGATTATGTACTTAAACAAAGAAGAAGAAAATATAAGATTATTATGTTCCATTTAATGGGCATTAGCAAACTTAGAATCTAATTTTAAGATAAATTATCGATGATAGCATTCATTTTAGTTCAGGCTGGTGGAGAATTCCATATGTTACATCTGAGTTTGGATACATGTTCTAATGGTAAATTCAAATAGACAAGAAGAAATATGACTTTTTTAAATTTGTAAATTCTCGTGGGTTTTACGTCTGTATTTTTCAAATATTTATGTAAGAGTAAAAGAATATTAAGAAAGGTGAGAATTAATTAAATTAAAAAAATTCAATTGTTTTAATCCAATAAATATGAAAAATAAATTTTTAATATAATAGTACTGAATTAAACTCATGTAAGGTATGAGTCACTCGATTTTATTTTTAATATTGAATTTGTATGTAATAACTACTAAATAATTAAATTATAATACAATAAGTAACGTTAATTTTTTCTTGCGAAGAGTGACACGTCAAAATTAGACGGATTCGAATAGCAAACAAAAGACAAGAACAAAAATTTAGTTAATTTATTGAAATTTGGCTGACCATACATCGCTTTTTCGAGTATTGCTACGTACTCATCATCAGTAGTGTTAGGAAATATTCAATACCAATAATAAATACAATAAATAACATCTTAAGGCTGTAAGAATTTTTTTTAATCATGTTTATGCTGTAGATTTTATCTAAGCAGTGATGTGTTGCGATAATAAATGCAATATACAATTGAAAACAATATCTTTTGGCATCATCAACATGAACTTACAGCTTATTTCTGTGATATTTGATCGAGTCAATTAAAATAATTATTTCAATCTGTTCTGATCCTGAGCTAGATCTAGTAGTCATATTTAGTTAAATACTATTCCATAAGCAAATATGATACATATCATTTGATGAGTTTAGGGATTTTAATACAATTTACTATTATATCACCACTGAATTACGATAATCTATGATATTATGTTATTCCTGGGTACTAGAGGTTGTGATTCCAATGTAACAAAGCATTCCATCAATAGTAGATTTTTTATAATTAAAATTT